TATAGGATAAGAACAAAATCCAAGCAGAGTAGGGTGACACAGATAGGACTGCTGTTTTAGAAAGGGTGGTCAAAGATAGCCATTTCTGAGAAAGTCACATTCAAGTAAAGTCCCAAAGGAAATGAGAAATTGGGGGAAAGTGTTCTATGCCTGATGAAACCAAGTCATAGCAAGGAAGCCAGGTGGCTGGAGCAAAGAAAGTGAAGAGGATAATAGGAAATAAGGGGCTACATCATAGAAGACTTTATAGGCAAGAACTTTGGACTTTATTCTGATTTGGGAACTACTGGGGGTTTACATAATTGGACTTAAATTTTGAAAAATCACTCTGTTGGTTATGTAGAAAAAAAGACTATAGAAGGCAAGGATGGAAGTCAGGAAACAGAAAGATCCAGCCATCATCCATGGGGGAAATCATGGGGCTGGGGCCAGAGGTAGCACTCTCTTGGATGATTTTCATCCTTTCTTTTATCTCCTTAAACCACTAGCACCTCTCTCCTTCGCCTCACTCTCAGCTGCTTATATGATTAAACTATGAACAATTGGAAAAGAAATTGCACATGCGTTTAACAACAACCCTACCAAGCTCTCTGTATCTGTGCCTGCCCACTCCCTCCTCCACCTGTCTATGGGTGATCCCTCCAGAATACTCAAGATTTTCTTCCTACAGTTTTCACACACTACTGCATCAGTATTTTCTCATTACTAGGTTTTCTATAGTGCATAAATATTTAAACAGAAAACCTAACCCCCAATCTCATTTGCTTTGCCCCATTCCCCAGCTCCTCTTTATAGCAAAAAGAAATAGATTTGTTACCATTTATCTCTACAATCAGATTTGTATCCCTACAGTTTATCTTAATCTCTGTGTTCAGACATACTTAGATACTGCCTTCTTTCTAAAACATTTTCTTCACTTAGCCTGTAGGACTGCTCTGTTTTGTTTCTCCTCTTACCTCTGGTTGCTCCTACTAAGTTTCCTTTGCTAGTCTTCTTATGTCTAAAGTGCCTCATGCCTAGCCTTTGGATTTTTTTTCTGTCCTAGGTCAGCGACTTTGAGAGATTTTCCAATTGTAGGCCACAACTGTTACTTGGTTAAAAAGATCAATGGATTTGGGAGAAGAAGTTTTAAAAAATAGAAAAGAATAAAGTAGAAGAGAAAGGAAATAGTGCATTACATACAGGGAGGCTAACTTTGCTTCTTTTCATTGTTGTTGTTAAGCCTCACCTGAAGATATTTTTTTCCATTGATTTTTAGAGAGTGGAAGGGAGGAGGAGAGACACAGAGAGAAACATCGATGTGAGAGAGAAACATTGATTGGTTGCCTCCTTCATGCACCGTGGACCAGGACCGGGGATCAAGCCTGCAACCGAGGTACGTGCCTTTGACCAGAATTGAACCCAAGATCCTTCAAATCCACAAGCCGATGCTCTATTCATTGAGCCAAACTGGCTAGGGCTAAATTTGTATATGTATTTGGTCAGTATATAAAAATGTATTTTTGATCCTAGGTTGAGGGCATAAGGTATGAAAGTTTCTGCTTTGTGTAACTCATTCAATCCTGTGGCTTTAAATACCACTGACAATCAATTTATATCTCTACTAGAGGCCTGGCACACAAAATTTGAGCATGGGCAGGGTCCCTAGGTCTGGCCCGCGATCAGGGCTGATCTTCCCCGGCTGCTGGCAGCCAGCCTCACCCCCCGCCACTGATGCCAGTTGCCCTGTGTGTGTGGGGTGACTGGCGGGGCAATTGGGGCCCCACTTGCTCCCACCTGCCTTGGCCTGGTGCTGCCTGCGTTGGCTGCCACCCCCCCCCCCCGTTTCCCTTCGGGCAATCAGGGCCTGCTGGCTGGGGGTAGCTCCTGCGTCAAGCGTCTGCCCCTTGGTGGTCAGTGCGCATCATAGCGACTGGTCATTCCGCCTTCAGGTCGATTTGCATATTACGCTTTTATATATATAGATATAGCTCCTCAGAATTCCAGTGTCTTCTATCCAGTTGCTAAATAGTACACCTCTATTTGGATGTCTAATAGGTATGTAAAATTTAGCATGTCCAAAATGAAATTCTCAATTCTCCCTGCCCCAGTGCAGATATTCCTTCTCCATCTAAACGACAATTCCATTCTTTTGGTTGTTCAAGCCAAAAACCTCAGTCATCCTTCACTCTATTTTTTTCACATCTACCTCCAATCAATCTGCAAATGTTGTTGGCTCTAGTTTTGAAATATATCAAACACTATGTGAAGGAAAATTGTAACCAACACAGCATAGGAAGGCCAAAATCAAGGTATAGATAGAGAAAATGAAACCACATCTTTATGATTATTGATACAAAAGAAAAGGTGCTTAGATTTGGAATTAGGAAATGCCAATTCAAGACTAGCTCTACCATATTACAGCTTTGTAGCACCTTAGTTGGTTATTGTTCACTTCTTTGCAAATCACCCATTACTCCTTCCATTCATCATCCGACCTAGTGGAACATTGTGTCAGGTGAGATGCCATTAGAGAGCCATAAACATTTGCAGTGTATCTTACCAGACACACCAATGCATGTGTTGTTCGCAGTGAAACCCTAACAACAAAACTAGAAATGGTTAGATATGTTTAACCATTTGGTGGACAGTCAGGTTTGACTGACTCTTGGGTTAACACTGGCCACTTGGCTCAGGCCTGACCTTTCTCTAGGAGAGGGAGGCGGTTTTCCTATGTGGGCTGAGGCAGTGGAAAGGTAGTATATTAGGAGTCCCCATCATCACATACAGGATTTGGAATTAACCTGCTGCCACAAGTGACCACCTCACCACCAATGAGCAATCCTCTATGGCAGTTTTCCATTTGAAGTGCAAAGTCTTCCCAGTTGCACTTGATTTCCTTGCTGGTAATCCTATCCTCAACTCCAGTTCAGGTGGCAAGAATCCAATCCCAAGACTGGGACATGTTCCAGTTGTCAGCTCCCTTTCCCTTGGGACTCTGACCTCCTTATAACTACACGCTTGCCAAAGGCTGTACGTATATATTTAACATTTATTGATTCCTGCGTTGGGCACTTTAAAGTGTTGTGCTAGTATTATTTCATTTCAACTTCATTCTACTCTATTCAGGAGATAAATGAAGAAAGAGGCTCAGAAAGATTGGGTCAATTGCCTAAGAGTAATGGCTGAGCTAGGACTCCCCTTAGCATTGTCCTCTTGAGTTCTGCCTAACTCACAGGTCCCTCTGATCTACGAAGGTTCTCTGCCACTGCTTACAGGATGTCAGGATTCCACATCCACTAATCAACTATTTTGTTTTCTAGGCATGGTTTAGGCATAAGAGGTACCAATGAAAGATATTGCTCTTGCCTTCATATGGAACATCTGCTGCCCAAAGCAGCGGAAAAAGTCAACCAGGTGTGGCAATTGGCCTTGTAACCTATTTTCAATAGTAAAAGAGCCCAGCCAGTGTGGCTCAGTGGTTGCCTGGCTCAGTGATTGAAGGTCGACCTTTGAACCAGGAGGTCATGGCTTGATTCCTGGTCAGGGCACATGCCCGGGTTGCGGGCTCAATCCCCAGTATGGAGTGTGCAGGAGAAAGCCGATCAATGATTCTCTCATCATTGATGTTTCTATCTATATTTAAAAATTAGTAAAACAGCATGGAGAAAATTCATCACTGTATTTTGTACTCTCTGTAATAATTCATCACTGTATTTTGTACTCTCTGTAATAATGCTGCAGGTGTGACAGAAATGCAGAGGACGTTTGTTGTATTGATAGAGAGTATGTCCAGCCCACTGATTTGGCCCTGTCGATTTGCTATTGGACAGCCCACTGATGAATTGTGGGGAGGGGCTCAACTCTCCCATAGATCACTCGTGGACAACAGAACAATTCTGGAATACCGAGGGTATTGGCTTAATATTCACTCAAGAACTTACTAGGAAATGATACAAACTTTTGGTCTTTTATGCAATTTGTAATGAATATTATGGAAGAAATTGGCAGTGGCTGAAACTTTTGCAAAGTTTGATCGGGGAAAACTGGACTTGAGAAAAATATTCACTAAAAACAAAGTGACAGAGTAATTTTATGTGGACGAAAGCTGAGAAATATTTACTTTAGGTATGTCTGTATTTACACATACAAAGACTAATTCCCATGAAAACTAAAAAGTTGGAAGTTCCAGAAGCCTTCCCTTTCCACGATGGAGGTGTGACGCAGGCTGTGGGCATAGCCATTCCCTGCAGATTAGGGAGCGAACGCAAACGAGTGTTCCTTAAGGCAAACAAAACAATTGTTGCTTATTTCTGTGCTCTCCCCTCATTTGTTAGCTTCGGATAAGGAAGTTTCCCATTTCTTTTCTCGAAGTTCAACATTCCACTGCTGGGACAAATCCCCGTTTTCCAAAACACTGATGACGTACGCAGGGGTAGGTTCTCGCCTCCGCCGCCGCGAGGGGGGCGCACGCAAGACCTCGGCCGCCGCCCCAGCGCGCCGTCGTTGCCCGGCAACTCCTCCGCCCTACCGGCCGAGCACGTGATGCGCGCGTCACGTGACGGGCCTCGGCGTCCTCCAGCCACGGCGTGTAAATAGGCCCGAGGGGCTGGAGCTGCGGCCTTGCGGTCTCCTTGCTCTTCCCGGCTGGTTCCCGGGGGGCCCCGGGGGCCCGG